CCTGGCACTTATATATTCTTCAATTTTTTTTTTTCTCTGTCTATTTCTTTAATTTTTTTTGCTCTGTTATTTTTATATATAATTATAAAGCTATTAATATTATTAATATTCTTTTCTTGATATAATTCAAGTTTCTGTTCTAGTTCGTAGTCAGTTAGTTTTTCTTTTAATTCTTTTAATTCTTCTAAATAGATTTCTTCTTTAGCTTCTTTTGTTCTTTAGGTATTTCTTGATATTGGTTGAATGTTTGTTTCAAACTAATTGCTCTTGTTATTAAAGAGGTTACTCTATTAATTTTATCTAATACTAATATTAGGCAGTAGTTTTTATTTGTTCCTTCTTTTAATTGTGCACAGGAAAGAATATTTGAAAAAATTTAATAAGCAATAATACAAACACATACCACAGACTAGAAAGAGTAATACAACAAAGAAAATTTAAATTTATCTAGAATCTTTTATACAGAAAATCAAAATTTGACCTAACAAAAGAAATACTTAATCAAAGAACAAAAGAACAAATAATTAACAACATAATTATAACCATTGAAAAACTTCAAAGAAGAATTCAACCAACAAACAATAATTGAATAAGAATAATCTTGATATTACTATAAACTGTAAAACAATTATCACTATTCATAGATATAGCCAAAGAAATTATATTTAATTATGAATTAACCAAAATACAAAACTGATATATAAACAAATTAAATATTGTACAATTACAATTAGAAACAGTACTTAACAAAATTCAAGAAAAAATTCAAGACCTAGCAGCCCAAAAAAAGTATACTTAATACCAAACAAACTAGAATCAATTACAACCCATATTCTCAATACTATAAAGAATTTATATTCATTAGAAGGAGCAATTTACTTCTTTGACTACAACAAAGAGATACAAGCCCAATTATCAGAAAAAAAAATCAAACAGTTTGAAAAAGATAAAAAGGCTAAAAATTTAATCAATAAAAGAATTTAAAAACTACTTGAAGAGCTACAACAACTAGATAACAAGGTGGAAAAAAATTAATTTAGAAAATATTTTAAGACCTTTACTATATGTTAACAGAAAAAGAAGAAAAGAACAGATATCCAAAATATAAATCAACCATAGAAGAAACAAGAAAATATTTTAAAGAAAAATATAAAGATATAGAAAAAAAATACTACGAAGAAATTCTATGACTAGAGCAAACAAAATAGGATACTTCACAACCTCTTTATTTCTCAAAAGAAAAGAAACAAGCTTTATTTATTTTCTAATAAATACTTTCAGAAAACTAGATTATTATATCGATGAATTTGTCTCAAAGATAAGAATATTAATTACCCAGAATACTCCTTTGTATATACTGAAGAGGAGAATAAAGAAAATCAAAGAGAAATCTATTAAAGTAGACTTGAATCCCAAATAGATTCTATATATCGAGTAGTAATAGGGTTTTACATAGAAAAGAACTTTGATAAGGAAACAATTGAAGAAGTTAAAATAAAACATAAAAAATATTGAAAAAACTAAATGACTTATTGGAAATATCCAAACCCAGAACTGTTATTTGAAAAATACTATTGCTTTAATAGCAAACCACACAACATAGGACAACAAGTAATATCTAAAAAATTAACAACTGACCAATTCTTATGACTATTAAAACCATTAATACATGACTTAGAATCAGAACTAGAAGAAGTAATTTATAGAAGTATAACCTTGAACAAAAAACCTTAACAATATATAATTGCTATGAAAATGATGACTACTTTTGGATAGCAACAAAAATAAGAAATATCTAAAATCAATTAATTGGCAATACGATCAAAACATAAGTGCATATACTGGAAAACCTTTTGAAGAATTCAAAAAACAGTGTAGACAAGAAAGTTACAAAAACCACTTAGAAGAAATTTATGAAAAAAGAACTGGAATAAGCATAAGCAGAGAATATTGGAAATCTGAAGGACAAACTTGGGAAAATTTCAGAAATTACTATGCAAAGACTTGGAAACAAGAATGTGAATACTGGAGAACTATTGAACCAAGAATCAAGCCAATATGAGGAAAACTGGAACTTGAAGAACCAGCCACAAACAACTTAGAAATATACTTGAATGCGGAACTCTTAGCATACCTTGATAAACAAGTATTTTTACATAATCCATACCAACTACCAAACAGAATAATGACCCAAGCAATAGGATTTACAACAATAAAAGAAGTAATATACATCTTATTAGCAGAACAAATTAATCTGAATAAAAGCTTTTACCGAACATTCAATGGAATAGGAGGAAAAGAGAAATTAGATCAATACGGAATACCTAAAGAAATTATAGAAGTAACAGCCTTAAGAGAAATATTTGAAGAATCAGAATTAGTAATAAAAAATAATAATTTAATTAAAATCCAAGAAAACTCATATTATTCAACAGAAGAATGGATTGCAACAGGCTGCAGACCAGAACAAGCAAAATATTACATAACACTGGGACTGTTCATCTTTCAATTAAATGATGAAGAAGTACCCAAAAATACTGAACCAGAAACCTTAGAACCATGGAAACTTTATTCCTTAAAACAAATAGAAGAGCAACAAATACCCCTTATACCAATAATACTACAAAACCTCTTGTATATATTTAAAAGAATTGAAGACTACCCTATACTAGAATATGTAAACCGAATTAAAATTGCGCATCAATATAGAATAATAAACCCAAAGAAAATGTTTACACAGTTATTCGAAGGAATAGACTCAGAAATCGAAGAAGAAGAATTAACACCACTAACAAAAGAGGAATACGAAGAGATCCTGGCAAATAAAGAAACAATAACCGCAAGACAAATTAAAAGAGGGCGATTATTTAAAACAATAATCCAAAAACAAATAGCACCACAAAAACGAATAGAAAAACAACTCACCAATTTTGACCACCTTTATCAAGGATACAAATACTTAACCATTTTCGAAAAGAAAGATAGAGCCAAAGTCGCAACAATAGTGGAAAAGTACCAAAAGTAATCGACCTTTCAAAACTACCAGACAATATATTAGACAAATTGAAAAAACAATACTACTATTACAATCTCAAGTATGACAATAGCGGACAGGCCCAAGTTACACTTGTAACAATCAAATTCCTAATGACCAAATATAAGGATTTAACCCTTATCTAGAAATAACCAGTGACACTAATCCGGCCACTTTAAACTTAACCATAGCCCTTGAAGTTGCCCCCTGCATGAAGTTGACAACTTCAAGTGCTTGAAGTTGTCAATTTCAAGCAGTGTAACATTTATGCCCAATTTGTCAACTTCAAGCAATGATCAACTTCAAGCACGACAGGCTAATAGGCTTATACCAAAAACGAAACCCAAAGTAAATATTTCACAAAATATTACAGTATTAATTGAATAAAAGAACATTAATTTAAATTTAATCATTACAATAATTATTACTTTAATCTGATAATCATTGTCATATATAATCCGATTAGATTTTTTTAAAAAAATCGATATCTTAAATTTTAAAATTTAAACAATCAATTAGATACGTGTATAAAGAGAACCAAATTACTAACAATAAATAATAACAAGAAAAATAATAATTAAATATAGATAAATTAAAAGGGATAGTAAACAACTACAAGTAAAAAGTATACAAAACTCAAACCTATCTTTCAATAGTTTCGACAAATCTTTCAGTTTTACTTAGATTACAAAAGTTGAAGCCAGTTTCGACTTTTATCAATAAGCTTCGTCTAACAACTACAATCTAAACATACTATTAATCTTTAGAACAAACTCGCTTACTTGAGATCTAACTATGAAAAAAAAACTTTAATATTTCTTTCGTTTTAGAGATTCTTATATAGTATAAGTAACAACTGAATTTAAAAAAAATGCTCTATCGCCAACCCTCATTATTATTCCTCCGTTTTTGTAATTATTTGACAGTATATAGAGTGAAAGGTGTAGTTTCTGAATATGTATTCAGTTTCCCTGGACAATTTTTTCATGGCAGCCAATTCGTTTAAGGTCAGATGATATATGTGGCGTATATATGACAATACATTTCAGTAATTGGCCAATCAAGTTTAAAGACCGCTACGCTGTCAATAGGGTAGTTGGGAATTTGATTTCCGCTTATACGTACACATAGTACCCAGGGTATAACTGATTATACCCTGCGATCTTGATATACGTAGTGACAGGGTATAAGCAGTGTTTAAAATTACCTTGCACAAGATGCACATGCGCAAGTGGTTTTTTTTGTGCAAGAGAAATTATAGAATTTTATTGCACTAAATATAAAATATGAAATAGATAGATAACGATAATCTGAAAAGTTACGAAAGGAAAATGAATGAATATAAAATATGAGCAAGGCTGAGCTTAATTTAGAGAAAATTAAACAAAGAATTTAAAATATATCTGATATAGTAATTTTATAACACCCAGAGATGATAAATATGTGCATATAAAAATAAAATTTATTTGTACGTGTGTGCAACTAGTAGTTGGTTTGTGCAATTAAAACCTATGACACAACTGCATTTGTGCAAGTAGGTTACAATCTGAATTTTAAACATTGGGTATAAAATCGATATTGACATTCGTACGTACACGATACTAATTAAGAATTGTCAATAAACAAAATTTATTAATGCTATTCTATATTGATTAGATTATCTATATTCTTATTAATGGAAAGCTATGCACAATACATACTAATTAAGAATTAATTGCTTTGCAAAGAATTTTAGTTGACAAATTTCTAGAGAATTTAATAATAATAGAATGTTTTTCTTGCTATAAATATTTGACTTTTAATATATTTATTACATTATGTCAGGTAAATAATATTTAAAAATCTAGATATTATTTTATCAGATATTGCAAAAAAATATTAATTTCTTCTCATAATAATAGATTTAGCCACTGAACGAACTGTTGCGATTAATGCAGTTTTGCAAGCTAGTAAAATTTGTAAAAATGCTTTTAATACCCTTGTAACGAGTGATACTCTTGTTAAAAAGGATAAAACTCCCATAACTAGTATTTAGAGAATTTTAGAGAAAATTTTTGAATTATGCTCATATTTAAATTATACAATTTTTACAAATTAATTAATGTTTTTTTTTTTTTACATTTAAAAAGTTGTTGATTTTAGTGTACAAGCTGTAGTAAACACTTTACTATCTAAGGTGTTTCCAAATGATTTAATTGTTGGAGAAGAGGACTCAAAGGATTTACAAGGTGATAGCGGAAAAGAAATGAGAGATAAAGTTTTATCATTAGCTAACTCTGTACTAGAAACTCCCTTGAGTGAGAAAGAGGTTGATATAATATTATCACTTTTCATATTCTGCTTTAGCTTAATTATTATTTACATTCAAAGTTGATGATTTAAATAATAGTTATTAGACTGGAGTGTTAGATACCAAATGATTAACTATCATAGTTCAGCACTATATGTTGGCCCACTATTAAAGATTTTTAAAAT